TCACAGTTGTTTCGGATCGTGAAAATTTATACATATATATATATATATATGTATAAATTTTAAACGTATATATATATATATATATATATATATATATATATATATATATATAATTGTAGTATATATGTACGTTTTTTGTAAATATCAAAGTTTAGATATATAAACTCCAAATACAAAATTTTTTCCTGAAGCATTCGGTAACACAATTATATTAATTGTATTAACGTTAACACGATTAGAGAATATTTCTGAAAAATCGAGTCCTTTCGGATGGCAGTGAATTAATGGTAGGCGGGGCGGACATTAATCGAAGCGAACCGGAGATAAATTCGACGATTGGACGAACGCGAGCACTGTTGCACTCGAATGTTTCGAAATGGCCGCGACGCGAAAATGTTTAACGTTAACGCCAAAACTCGATATTACAGCGGGGCTTTCTGCATTCGCTGAAATACTCGATAAATCCCGTTCGGGAAAATAGATTAGCGCGATAGGTCATCAGCGAGGACTTCTCACACGACATGCGCGCATTGGTATCAATTTATTCATCCTCCCCCCTCCCTCGCCTCATGATCAAAACAACGGATGTCAAACATGCCTGAAATAGTTTCGACTTCGTCTCCGCAGGTTTTGCATAATATGCATCGACATGGTGCCTCGTTAATTAACGTTGCCAGATGAGTTAATATTAACGAGCGTCAATAATCGTAACGCTCTGACGTTGACTTTCAATAGTCTTTCATTATTTCGATGAGCGTGATACACGTTATCAGAAATTGTTTCACGCAAGATATATATATAATTAAATGGCGAAATAATTAAATAATTAATGTGATCCGTCTGAATCTCTGAAATGTAATCTGATGTAATGACGGATATGCAATATATGCGCAACAATTTACAGAGAGACGTATACGCGGCATACGCTCTTTTCTCTGCAAAATAGTAGTAATCCGAGTTTAAAAGTCAAAGGGCGAATTTGTTAGCGTAACAATACGTTGCCGCGGGGCCGACCATTTCTGCAATGATGTTATTCGTCCATCATCGGAAATCCGATTATTCGGTCCTCGCTTTAGCCCCGCGCTTTTGGAGTATCATTTTTTAGCTCGTTATTGCGACAATCTCTGGCATGTAAAGCCCGGTTTATACTGGTTCACTTTTGATCATTATCTGCATCATCCATAAATTAGTCGTTCGACGAGAAGAATTGCAAAAATACAGAAATATTCTCTCGCTCTCTCGCAACTTAAATATATAAAATTGTACATTTTTGTCTTATTTATTATATATTTATTTACTCTTTATATGTGTGTACTATTAATATCTAGTAATTTTTATTTTGTACTATATTAATATTTTAAGCAAATACATTTTTTTTCCAGATTTTCAATACTTTCTCAAGTTTGAGATACTGCAATTGCAATACGTAACAAATGAGGATAAATGGGGTTATTATCTAGGGTGAATAGTGTAAATTCGGGTGTAACGCGGATCAATTATTGCTGGCGATATTACGAGAGATTGCGTAGCTGTAACGCGGGCAAAACTTGCAGGTGGCTTCAGTAACTTTATCGCTCGCGACTCATTATGCACAAACAGAATCAAAAGTACGTAATTACATCGCGAACTTTGCAGTGCAAACTGCGACGGGCATAATCCGCACATAATGTGCGCAGTACGTGAAAGCAAATTAATTACTTCGTTCGTCGCAATATCGCCAGCAAGTTTGTAAACGCATGGACAAAGCTTGGTTGCGTTCAGAGTGATTTTGTTATGTTTTAACAATAATTAATTTTGTATCACTTTCTATGACGTCTTCGTTATTTTACAAAATTATTGACTCATTTTGAAGCTGAAATTAATAAAGCAGTTTAAATAAATTACCGTTAATCTTTGCCGCATATGCATATAAAGTTTTATATTTTAATCCAAAAGCTGCACGACATTTCGAGAGTTGGCTACACATTTCAGATTTATCTTTATAATTAATCTGTACGTCGAGTTTTATTTAATATTTACGTTTATTGAATCGACAAAAATGAGATACTGCGAATGACAAAAAAGATAAAAAAAAATAATAAATTGTACTTCAAGCTCTACAAGTAGTAAAGATTTAAAATTTAATTTAATTCTATTTAAAATAATAGTTTACCTTAAATAAGTTATTAATTAAATAATTATATTAGATAAACATCGTATTTATTAATAATACCATTGTAACCATATTTTTAATAAGAAATAAGCTTCAAATACACAAATATCACTCAATTATTTCGATTTGTAATGTAAAAATAATTTTTAATTCTTAAAAAATAATAATTTATTAATAAAGTAATATAAACAACCTATTAAACAATAAATCTCAAAATACAAGAATACTTTAATGAATATACATGAATTTTACTGCATTTATTATGAAAATATTAAAACAATAAATAATTTAATCTCTGTTAGAGTAATAATAATTAATTATTATTATTATATCCCAGTGTGCGCGTGTAAATTTAGCAAACGGTAGGTCAACAAAACGCTTTCAATGTAAATTATTGCGAATGCATCTCGGGAGACTAACGATACACACTGTTGTCGCTTTATCAATGAATTTTCATTACGTTTCATCGTTTCAAATCACTCTCGTCATTTC